CATCATTTGTTGAAAAGGTTATCATTTCCCCATTAGCTTTGATTTCCTTGTCGAATATCAGTTGACCATAGATAGCTGGGTCTATTTCTGGGTTCTCAGTTCTGTTCCACTGGTCAATGTGCCTCTCATTGTATGAGTATCATGCTGTTTTTGGTTACCACTGCTGTGTAGGTTTTGAGGTCAGGGAGTGCTATACCTCCAACCAGAGGGATGTAGATGTACAGATTATACAATTTGAGGGGTGGGGGAAACGGAAAGAATTTGTTCAACTTTATACTAGAATTTTGTAAATAAACTAGTGAAAAAAAGTCCGCTTGGGGAGGGGGAAGGGAAGGAGAGGGGGTAACATGCACAACAATAAATGAATGAAAATCTAACTTTTTCTGTAAACTTTTGTTAAAATGACAAATAAAATAAAAATTTTATTTAAAAAAATTGGTACCAAGTGTCTGTTTAGGGTAATGAAAATCATTTGGGAATGGGTGGTAGTGATAGCTGCACATGGTGAATATAATTAATGTTACTGAATTTTATGCTTTAACATGGCCAAAACATCAAATGTTTTGTTCCATAAATATTAATAATTTTTTAAAAACAGAAAACAGATATTTTCACCTCCAAGCACCTAGCAGACATGATGTAAATGTCATCTCATCTCCTTGGATTCACAACTAAATCGAGGTGGGCTTCACTGCCCACTGAGCTATGGTGACCGATTACTTGTGAGATGACAAAGTGAAAGGGGATGGAGACACCCTGGCCTTCAGAACAGAGAGGCTCCTTGCCAAAATGTTGGTGGGTTGCATCATGCCAGCCAGCAATCTAAGTTTCTGACGGGACAGGCCCCCAAATATGTTACAAGAGAAGTCAACCTTCACCTGAAGGAGTCTCCTCCCTCCCTCCTTTCAGGATCCTGATGGGGAGGCAAGCCTGTATAAAACAGAACAGAATGCTGTGATTTTAAACCCTGGCCTTCCCTTCTCTATGCGCATATGGAAAATGGAATCCACCAACAAATCTGGGCTCACATAATTGTGTTCTCATTTGGTAAATGGGCATGATGTCTGTGTTCCCTGTGTGTCACAGGAGGGCATTCAGTAAAACAAAGCTTGGGCAAGCTCTTTGAAAAGGCACAAGTCAATATACAAAGGCATATTATTATGGAAAGCTGTCTTCTTGGTCGTTGGAGTAGTTCCATTGACAGAATATGTGGGTGGCTGTATGAATCTAGTTTTGTCTATTCACAAGCACATGGGTTTAATAAAGTGAAGTTTGTTTTTTAAGGTGTGTGGTCCATGGCTCGCTGAAACACTCCTGTTTGACAAACACTGACCAAGATTCTAAGAAAGGCGGGGCCCCTTTTTATCCGCCTAACAATGGACAGCAGGGGCATAAATCTCTTAAGTCCACAGGAATACCTCGTACTGGCTCCATCCGCTACTTCCTGACCTTGCCCTTGAACTCTTGCTCCACCTTAGTGTTCAATGCCAAGAAGACAGCCATTCTGAGCTGAGTCACACCAGAGCTTCCTGGTGGAGGCTCCCTGCAAAGTCCTTGCATGGTCAAGCGGCCTGATGCTGGCTGGGGAGTGCATCCTTAGCACACAAAACCATTGTGTCCTTGATTACTCTTCCCAAACCCAGGAAAGGGACTGGGAATTTCACCATCAGGCCACCAGGGACAAAGTGGCACGTGTCTTTGTTATTTGTCCAACATTTCTGAGCATGTCATGCAACCTTAAAAACATTTGAAAAAGTGAATACACACCACTGAACCTTCCGTTCCCTCCTTCTGTGCTTCTTTTATATAAGCCCTGCCCGGATTCTTTAGATCTCAGTTACCACATCAGATTGTTTTCTGTTTTTCAATAAATACTTAAAAATGGTACTTATGAACTAAATACCATGCCAAGGATACACAGGACATTACCTAACTCTATCCTTACATGATCCCTAAGAGTTAGACACAATGACTGCCTCCATTGTACAGATGGAGAAACTGAAGCACAGAAGATAAACCCCACATTCCACTACATACCATGCTTAAGATTTTCTCCTGTGCAGGGACCAGATAGAGGAGCTGTCAGAAGCAAGGGCCTCTCTGTCACTCAATTGGTAAATTATCATAGCTACATTTTGTGGAATACTAAATAATGGATAAACCTGACAAGGTAGGAATGAGGGCATGAGGAGAATTTGGAGGCACTGCGAGGTAAAATACCAAAAGAAACCTTTGGCTCAGGTTGCATGGCCAGAAAGTAAGTAGCAGGCCTCTGAGTCCTACCCTGTCCAGTCTGAAGCTCCAGCCTGTGCCCTCACTCCCTCCAGCCGACTCTAGAGGCACAGAGTAAAGGGAAAGTGGCACAACAATAGGAAGAATCTGGTATGAAATTCATGCCTTCGGCTCTACCACAAAGAGAGCTAAGATACTCATCAATGCGTAAACGCAAAAATCACTTATGTTACTATGTGAGTGCTCGGTTCTTAGTAACTAACTCACCAGTTGCCAACATGTTGACTCTGATTTGTGACAACACCGTGTGTGTCAGAGTACAACTGTGCTTGACAGATTTTTCCCAGTGACTGAGTAGATTGCCAGGCCTTTACTGAGTTGCATCTAGGTGGATTCATGTGTCCAACCTTAAAGTCAATCGCCAATGTCAATATTAACAATTGGTATCACCCAAGGACTTCAGTTTCTTTTGAAATTTATTGCCATTGAGTCAGTTCTGACTCCTACAGACTTTACAGTACAAAGAGCCATTGTCCCATCGAGTTCCACAGAACTCCATCTTTGCAGGGGCATACTGCAATAGCTTTCTCTAGTGGAAGAGGTAGTAAGTTCAGCCAACTTTTCAATTCACTTTAACCACTGCATCAACACTTCTTAGACTTTTACTGGACAGAAAAAAAAGGTAAATTCTTCTCTAGCATGGCTATGTTATAAAAGGAAACTGCCATTCATCACAGAATTCTTTAATTGCTCACCAAGAATAGGTCAGAGTGGAAGGAAAAGAACAATGGCCTGTAAGATGGAATCCCGTTCAAAGACAACACTGTGTACCTCTAAAATGTTTTCAACAAGTTTTACCAAAGTGAACTGTGCTCAGTTCCTGAGGTCAATGGAGAAGACATATGCCCTTGTTGGTCACAGCTCTTCCTCAACTTACACAAGTACCACTCCATACCCCAGCTTCTTCCAGGACTAGGACAGTGCCTCTCCTGCCTGCAAGTTTAAGAGGCATACAGGAGGGATTTGAGAACACACTGATCCTCCAGGGAAGTCCACTGAGCTAGAAAGAACACCAACTCCATTTTATAAGTGTTTTGTAAGGATAAAGACCTGCAAATGATATGTCTCTAGCTGTAATGTGGGCAGGGAAAGGTCTTATTAACATTTTCCCTGTGCAGTAAACAGAATTTCACATTGCTACTAGGGAATGACATTTTTTTTCTCTTAATTTGTCTCAGGGTCTTCAATCAACTCTGCACCTTGAACTTCCTTACCATTCAATGGTGCTCTCTGCTGAGCTCCAGTTGGACTTTCATTAAGAGTGTCTATTGGTTTATAATGTGATTGGTTATGTGTGATATTCTCTCCTCCATAGGACCGAAGCTTCAGTTATGGAGAGGAAAATATTCTTAACTCTCAAAAGACTTGTTATGAAAATCTGCTGTCAAGCACGTCTCCAACAGTTAGACCTCTCTAACTGATGAGCAAGGATGTCAGTTAAAAGACTAAGGTACACCTGATCCAAGCCACAGTATTTTTAATTGCTTCCTATGTATCTAAAAGTTACACAGTGAATAAGGATGATAGAAGAATATGTGATCGCTTTTAATGTTGTATAGGAGAAGTGTACTGAATATTCCATGAACTGTCAAAAAGAACACTCAAGTCTGTCTTGGAGGAAATACAAATATGGTACTCGTTAGAGAAAAATATGGTGAAACTTTGTCTCAAACTCTTTGGGCATGCAGTCGTGAGGGGTCAGTCCTTAGAAAAAGATATCGTGCTGGGAAAGGTGGAGGGTCAGAGAAATAAAGAGAAACCCTCACCACGACGGCTTGACACAGTGACTGTGACAATGGACTTGAGCATGTTGGAGACCATATGGACTCCACAGGATAGGGCAAGATTTTGATCTGTTATTCATAGGATTGCTGTAAGTTGTAGCTGACATATAACTACAGAAAAGAAGTCAATTAACAGTACGTTTCTTTTTGCATTGGCAAGTAATGGCATAGTGCTGTATGTAACGTATGTGTGTATATGGACATCTTGAATTTTGGGTTTTTTTTTTCACATATTTTATCTTATTTCCCAACCTAAATTAATTATTCCTGAAGGAACAAGGCTCTGTCTTATTTTCCTAGTTCTGAGATTACAAACATATTTATAGCAGTGTTTTTTAGTGTTTTCTAACTTTCTCATATCACCAGGTTAGGAACAGAACTTCACGTAGTCAGAAATGTGATGTTCTTATGTATTCCTATGCATCGACAACTTGTAGTAATCAATAACCCAGACTCTGGAGCCATTATATACTTCAGTTACTTTAATCTCTCTCAGCTTCCCCCCCCCTCTAAAATGGTGGTAGTAAGATTTCCAAACTTAGAGGGTTATCGAGAGGATGAAATTAATGACATATTTAAAAATATGTACATTATTGTCTAACCTACATTTGCTCCTTGTCATTGCTTTCCTTCAAGTGTCAAATGACACAAATAAATCGTTTATCCATTAGTTATTGTTGTTACTGTAGAGTCAGAACCAATCTATAGCTAACCTTCCAATGGGTTTTCAGAGGCAATCACATAGGAGGAGACTGCCCATCCACTCCCACAGAGCAGCAGGTGGCCTCGAACCACACGCCTTTGGGATTGCAACACAGATTCTTGCCACTAGGCCACTACAGCTCTCTATTAGCTATTAGAGGCTATAAAATCACCGAAGCCCACGATTCCAGAAACAATAACAGAAATATGAAATATTCTGACCTTTGGCAAACGCTCAGGGTCACCAGGGTGCCGGGGAATGACCTTCTGTAACCTCTGGAAACCATAATCAATGGTGGGTTCGTTGAGTGCTGCAATAAAGAAGTCACACAATCAGGACAACTTTAAGGAAACAATGTTTTACCATTTCAAGTAAAACAAAGAACATGATTTACTACATTGATGGTGCAGAAGCAACTGAGGACATTTAAAGTCCTCAGTTTTTAATTAGATCATAACATGCTCATACAAGAATTATTCTTTTATTGACCTTTTATCATCTATTCTTACCAGTCCTTGAAAAAAAGACATAATACTGGAACAGGTCAATGAAAGAAAGGAAGACCTTCAACAAGATGGACTGACAGAGCACCTGTAATAATGGTTGAGTATGACAAGAAATTATGATCAAAGAGCAAAATAGGGCAAGGTTCAGATCTGTTGCTCACCAGGTCACTATGAGTCCTAGTTGGCTCAGTGACACTTAACACCAACTGTTGTCATTTTCCAAGGTAGGGAGTGACTTGCCCCAGAGAACAGCAGTAACAAGTCTTGGACCCAGCACTTTAGGCCAAATCTTACATTCATTGCCTTATGACACAGTAAGATAATACTGGATAAAAGATTTTAGGATTCACTTAAATCTTAAGTTCAAGTTAGTATGCTCAAGGGCATGCCCAGGATATCTACATAGTCATCATAAACAATAGGAGAAGTAAAAGTAATTATTTATTTGCAAATCTTTAGTGGGACTCCCCTGAAATAGTATTGTGGTTTGAAACCTATGAAAATATGAGGAAGAGAGGGGCTGACTACTCAATGAGTTCTGGAACCATGGGTTTATGAATACTCATTAATCTATAGTGAACAATTTTTAAACATCTAACAGATATATCTTGGAAAAGGTGCAACCAGAGTGCTCCTTGCAGGCAGTGATGGTGACACTGCTTCTTTCTTACTTTTGCTAAGAGAAGCTATTCCTTGGAAAGGGTAATGTTTGGTAAACTGGAGAATTAACAAAAGAGAGGACGACCCCCAATTAGGTAGATTGATATGATACTTGCAGTAATGGGCTCAAGTATATCAGACATGATGAGGATGGCACAGGATAGGACAGGCAGGATTCAGGGCTGTTTGTTCACAGGGTCGCTATGAGTAATACTCCACTCCAGGGTTCCTAACAACATGTTTACCTTGCTCACTAGGTAATCTGCTCCTCATGGGAGGTGAGAACAGGCTGGAGTGGTCTCCTTCTACAGAAACCCTACCTGTCCATGATGGTCTGCAAAGACCTAGATACTGAAAACATCTTTTTTTCTTTTTTTATCTTTGATGATTTTATTTATTTTTTTTATTAAATTTTATTCGTTTTAATGTACATTTACAGAGATTTTTGGTTTTTCATTCATTCACTGTTGCACTGTTTTCTCCACCCTCATCCCCAGTTCATTCTTCATCCCCCCCCCCCGCCAATGTCTGTTTTAATTGTCCAATTGCCACAGTGCTTGTCAAAGCCAGTTCTGATTAATCTCCTTTGTCAGTGTGTCCCTTGCCAAGATGCTAAATGAAACTAAAATGATTAATTCATCAGCATCACTATTATTTCAAGGAAAAGACCAACCTCTGTAGAGCATTAATTTAGAACAGCTTAGTTTCCAAAAGTGTTTCTCAAAGATACTAAAAGAAGAGGAAATCAGCAATATTTGGAAACAATAACGCTCTTTGCTGTGTCCGTATAGACTACATCCTCTTCAAGAACCCTTAAGCTAGACAGAGTAGAGGAGACTGTGGTCTATTATTTTTAAAATTCCTCCCTTGGACATGAGATATCTCACCTGAGCAATGAAGATCTGTCCTCTGCTCTTATCTCCCACATCCTCTAAGTAACGGGTAAGTGTAGGGCTTTGTTGGGTTTGTTTTTTGGGTTCCCCCCCCCTTTTTTTAGTATAGCCAGGAACCAACCACATATTTTCTCCCATACTGAATAAAAATACCGCCTTTGTAATTCTGACATTTATCTATACATTAGAAAACAAGTTGCCACATGCTTTACTTAAAATGCATTTCCATTAACCTAAATTTTAAAAGTAAGATTCATACTACTACTAACTTTAAAAAACTGTATTAAATTCAAATAGGTCCCAAGGCTAATGGAAGCAATTTGTATACCAACCCAAACTGACTGGCCCACTTTTCAAAATACAGGTATGATAATCTTGTGGTTTTAAAAGGACATTTAAATTGAAAGACTGTGAATTTAGTACATAATTATACCAATAGAACCCTTTAACTTGTCAACTTGTAAATCTAAAAGGCTATCAATCATTTCTAAAGAGGAAATAAACCTTAAAATTCCTTGATTGACAGTGCTTACTTTTTATGTAAGGAAGGAAAAAAAGGGGGGAAGGAAAAGGGGGAGGAAGAGGCTGCATAAAGTGGCCAGAAATCCATTTACAAAAGTACATTGTTTTACATAATTACATCTCCAAAAGACATAGAGTAAGTACTTTTTCCTCACTTGTATATTTTTAAGTTGCAGTGAACTTCAAGTAACTTTATATTTAAAAGATTTTTCCCTAAATGCAGCAATTCTTATTGAAGTTGTTAATAGAGTAGCATTTTCATTTAAGATAATGTAATCATTTTTGCAAATAGGAGATTTAGCCATCACCCCTCCTCCCAAAACAGTAAACTTTCAACCTGTCTCTTGTGGAAATTAGCTAAAATTATACCCAGGTGTACAAAATCTCTCTATCTATACTAGTATTTGAGTTAAGGCACAATATTTATTATTTCTCCCACTTTATGAATTACTTTCTAAACCCATGAGAAGATTTTTTTTTCAAATTAGACTTGCAGCACAAAAAAAATCCCTAGAATTCTTTATGCAGAGATGCTGTTACCCAAAAAATCCACACTATTTAATCAAGATAAGCCTGAGAGTGACAAGAATAAGCACAGGCCTGATTTATCATGTTCTCCCCAACTCATAATGCTAATTTCTAGGAAAACATGTAACCATAAATAATAGCTTCAGAAAATTAAGTACATCATTTTAATATCTGAATATATAATTCAACATTCTGAAAATTCTAATTCTTGGCTTTATCTTTAAGTTGATGTCTCCAAGAAAATTTGGACTGTTGATCCATCATTTGCCAAATAAATTCCCATAGTATCAAGAAGTCTGTGGTTGTTAACTGACCGCTGAATTGGTGGGAAGGTTGTACTTCTCTGCCAGTATGGCCAGCTGATAGCAGAATAACTGACACAAAGTCAGCAGTTTAAAAAACCTCATTCAAATATCATATGGAACTCATAGGCAGGAAGAACAAGCCTTCACTGAGAAGTCTTTCCACCACTACAAAAAGTAATTGAATTAGACACACTAAACTCATTATTAAAAGAAAATAAGCATCAACTCTAGGAACGTATACTATGTGAGAGAGGAAATATTTCAAATAGTAAGACAAGGCTTTTACTTTCCCATGCCTTTATGATTTGTTCTTTGCTCATGCTTTTAACATGTTAACACACCCTCAATTTAGGTTCCAAACTTTACAGTGGAATTGTCCACGGAGATACAAAATACAACACTAAAAAGATGCAAGATAAACTTCATTTTCTTAAAGAGTCAGATTATTTTTCTGATTGCATTGATGAAAAAGAAAATAAGGTAGTATCTAAGTGTGAAGAGTCATCTTTTGAAGACTATGAATTAAAATTAAAAGAACAAAATCTAAAGCCCTTGAAAACAGTTTAAGTGGGAGTGAGATTTAAATTAATGCACAGTCTTGAAATACAACATTATGTAGTCCTCCAAGGCAACATCAGAAAGGGGGGGAAATGCCAATATATTTTGCAAATTCTGAAAACATATGTATTACACTTTTGTTTTTCTTAAAAAAAAATTTCTCACCCCTGACCAATAAACAATAGCCTGAGAAATAGAGAAAAGAATTGAAGTTGTAAAGGATTTGACTTTATTTGGATTAATGCCCAACAGCATCTTGGAAACAGCAATCAAGAAATCAAAGGGCATACTGCATTTGGGCAACTATAACGCAAAATACCTCTTTAAATTGTTAAAAAAGCAAAGATGTTACTTTGAGGACTAAGGTGTACCCAGGCCACAGCATAGTATTTTCAATTGACTCATACACACGTGAAGGATAGATAATGAATAAGACATAAAAAATAACCTGATGTATTTGAATTATGGTGTTGGCTAAGAATCTATCAGGGACTGCCAGGAGAACAAACAAATCTGTCTTGGGAGAAGTGCAGCCAGAATGCTCAGAAGCGCAATGGTAAGGTTTCGTCTCACTTGCTTTGGGCATATTAACAGGAAGGGCCAGTGTGTGGGGAAGGACACTTGGTAAATAGAGGGTCACCAATAAAAAAAAAAAAAGAAGAAGACCTTCAAAAAAGATGTATTGACCGCAACAATGATCTCAAACATAACAACAACTGTGAGGGTGGCAGGGAACTCGCCACATTTTATTCTGCCCCTGCAAGTTAGAACTGACCCCACGGCACCACACAATAGTACACACACTAGATGGCTACATTTTCTTTTGTAATGTACAAACATAGAATAAGGAAAATGTACGTGTGGAGAAATAGCCTAATTCCAAGTAGTGGTCCTAAAGTGTTTTTCTTCCTCCTTTTTTTTTTAATTTTTGTTGTACATTCCCCAAAGTCTCCACAATGAACATATATTACTTTTATAATCAGAGAAAAAGGTTAAGAGCAAGAGATTGTTGCTGAGATGGAATTTGACCTGCTTGTATAAAGTAATGACATAAGAAACTATGCCTTAAAAGGGGTCTGTATACCCTTTAATAACCTTGCATAGGTTATTAGAGACCATAAGAAAAATAAGTAGTATACTTTCGGCCAGTTGTATAAATATATGACTATTCATAAACTCTCTGAAAATCAACAGAAAGGGTAACAGGGAGGAACCATAAAGAATGGTATATTTATTTCGTCAGTGGGGGTGGTTGTACCTTAGGGACATACATCTACTCTGCAAGAATGTAATATAAAGTTAATCCTTACAACAAAGTGACTTCATTGTACTCAAGGA